ACCACAGCATCACCTAGGTAACACAATATGAAAACATGTTGGTTCCTCTAGAATAGTTTGTTATAATGATCTCAAACAGTTATTTGCTGAGGAAAGGAGTGAGAGTTATATTGATACTACTTAGTCATTTCTATTTAATTTTTTTCCCTATTTTTTTTAAATGGGAAGAAAAAATTAACAAACTTGTGTAAAAGATTTGTAAGAGTTTTATGTGAAGACTTTATAATGCTATCAATGACGATGAACAAAGTTTCTAAATACAATACAATTTAATTTACAAGTATAATTTGAATTTAGAAAAATTAAAATCAAACAAGCAAACAGGAATTCAAAGTTTGATTTAAAAAGAGTAGAAAGTATACATATAATAATAAAATATAAGACTAGATAAACTTACAATGATTTAAATAGAATTGAACTATTGTACACAGCACCCTCGGTTGACCAATGTCGTCACTGATTCTAGCATAGACTCTCTTCAGTGCTGGAAAGAGCTTAGGTATCATTGAGGAGTCTAGCTTGCAGATAACATCAAGAATTGATATAGCTTCAACTAAACACTAAGATTGAAAAGGGATCTTGATAAAAACATGTTTTTGCATTTTTTCCTAATAAGAAACTTGTTCTCTTTATTGAAAAATAAAATATAATTCTTAAATAGAAGATAGTTAAATGTGGAGAATGTAGCCTAGTGTGGGCACTCCTACCAATCTTGGGTGTATATATTCCATCCACATAGAAATACTCACAATTAAGCAATTAAAAATAATTTCATATCATATTCGCCATCCCATAAGCCTGAGCACAGGACGGGTCACGTCATCTGGCTCGGAGGCTGTTGATGTTATGTTATTGACAATAAAGTGTTATCCATAAAATAGGGAATTTTTCCATGATTTAGTACTAGTGTTGAACCCAAGTATTTATACAATATAATACAGTAGGAAGCTCTAAGATTAAATTAAGACAACCAAGTAGTGTACAATATGGTAAAAGTAAAGAACACAATAACCAACTTCCAACTGATCAAAGAGGGCGCTGTTGAAGATAGGAATATTGCTCACAAAACAAGCCATTGTATATTTCTTTCATGCAGTGGGAAATGTACTAATTTCACAAACAGCAACATTTAATTAATATTAATCAAAGAACTTGTGGAAAATTTTAGATGATTTAAATGGATTTTCTGAAATCATTACTAAGATTAAGCTCTAAGATTGAATTAAGGCAAGCAAATAGTGTACAATATGGTAAAAGTAAAGAACACAATAACCAACTTCCAACTGATCAAAGAGGGCGCTGTTGCAGATAGGAATACTGCTCACAGAACAAGCCATTGTATATTTCTTTCATGCAGAGGAAAATGTAATAATTTCGCAAACAGCAACATTTTTAATTAATATTAATCAAAGAACTTGTGGAAAATTTTAGATGATTTAAATGGACTTTGTAAAATCATTACTTTTACTTTTAATATCTCATGAAATATTAGGGATTAAACAAGTAAACCTACTTACTGCTTCAACTAATTCTTGATCATGCACTTTCAATGGTCCTAGAAAAAAAAAGAAGACATGAGACATAACTGATAAGAAAAACTTTAACGATCATATTTTACAAGGCTGGTCAAAAGGATCCACAGAAAATAATAAGAAACGAAAATCAAAAAAATAACATTGCCCTTAAAACAAATAAATAATTATAGGGTTCTTTGTCAACCATCATTCACCCGATTTTGGCTGTAATTGTAACAACAGAGCTATCCAAATCAATTTTTTTAAATTAAAGCATTCCAAAGATCATAAAGTGTTTTTGGTTTCCCATTAAAACAAATATTTTGCCAATAAAAAAAACCATTGATTTTAAGACTCATTGGGCTTAAGTCACGAAATATATCTCTTCAGATAAAGCATGAAAAAAAAAAAACATATTTAAAATTTGCAGAAAAAGCCAAATAAAAAAAAAAATAATACTTGTTTAGCACCACCACCCACACCTGAATTTTCAAGCAAAAATTTAAATTTTAGATGCGGGAATTTCTTTTTTAATTAAAAAAAAAAAATTATCCAGGAAATGCTAAGCAAAATTAAGTATAGACCTATTTTAAGTGAATTAAAACAACCATTTCACCAACCAGGTGTAAT